TTTTAATTTTATATTTATAAGCTAATGTTTTAAATTTAAATTAAATTTTGGAAACTAAAGAGTTTTGAAATTTACATTTTTCAAAACAAGTTCATTAAAAAAAGTAAAAGGGAAGAAATTTTAACTAATATGATTACAATTATTTTAAAATAATTGTAATCATACATATTTACACATACACACACACACACACACACAACACAAACACACACAACACAAACACTACACACGCACTAACACAAAACACACACATAAACACAAGACACGCACACACACACAAAAATACACATACATACATACATACACACATACATTCATACATGCATACATACATACATACATATACACATACATACATACATACATACATACATACATATAAATATATATAAATAAATATATATATATATATATATATATATATATATATATATATATATATATATATATATATATATATATATATATATATATATATATATATGTATATATATATATTTATATATATATATTAATTTTATTTTTTAATTTTATTTTAATTCACCTCCTCAAGGCCGAGAAGGCCACTACAGACGAGGAGGCTACTTATTTGTGGCTATAACCCTCTCTCAACTCTATAACTCCGAAACACGAACCTTGATGAACAAGGCCGCTGCGCGGAGAAACGAGTTGAGCGCGGTACTACCAGGGACGTGGTGAGGATCGAACTCCGAACCACTCGTTTATGAAGCGAGCGCTCTACCACTACACCACTACCGCATATATATATATATATATATATATATATATATATATATATATATATGTTTAGTTTTTTACTTACCTGGACAGATTTTACAAAAAACTAACACGAGGACATAAGCATTATCGGGGACATCTTAGTGTACCCATTAATTTTTTGTCCCCGTAAGCATTATTTTTTTTTGTAAAAAAATGTACCCTTAAGAAACTTTTATAGGGAATGAAAAGTACATACATCGACTATCAAATAGCCTGACTCGCAAGGGGGTACTGCTATATTGACTGAGGGTTTGGTTAGGCCAGGCCTAGGGTTAGGGTTACGGCAAGGTTTAAATTTGGTTATATTATTGTAACTAATCGTTTAGTAAATAGATGAAGTTAAAAATGAAATATAATATAAAATAAATAAATAAAAGTAATAAAAATTAATATAAAAAACAAATATTTAGAATAAAATAATAAATTTAAATATGTATAAATAAAAATAAAAATAAAATAAAAGTTAAAAAAAATGTATAAATATTATAAAAATATTATAAAAAAGTAAAACGGGAACAAAAAAACTATGTCCCCGAAAGTCGCGACTAGGTTGCTATATATATATATATATATATATATATATATATATATATATATATATATATATATATATATATATATATATATATATATATATATATATATTATATGTATATATATGCATGTATATATATGCATGTATATGTATATGTATGTATATGTATATGCGTTAGTGGTGTAGTGGTAGAGCGCTCGCTTCATAAATGAGTGGTTCCGGGTTCAATCCCCACCATGTCCCTGGTAGTACCGCGCTCAACTCGTTTCTCCACGCAGCGGCCTTGTTCGTCAAGGTTCGTGTTTCGGAGTTATAAAGTTGAGAGAGGGTGATAACCACAAAATAAGTAGCCTCCTCGTCTGTAGTGGCCTTCTCGTCCTTGAGGAGGTGAATTAAAATAAATATATATATATATATATATATATATATATATATGTATATATATATATATATATATATATATGTATATATATATATATGTATGTATGTATATATATATATATATATATATATATATATATATATATATATATATATATATATATATATATATATATATATATATATATATATATATATATATATATATATATATATATATATATAAATAACCACATTATCTTTTGAATGACGATTATGTAAATAAGTTTATTTTTATTTATGCAACTTTTAACTGCAATAAAAAAGTTTACTTAAATTTTTATAGAATGATAATTTATAATTAATTTTTTTTTGTTGCTGTAATGATCTCTTGAAAAACGCTAATACTTTAAGGGATTGTCCATGAATTACAAAACACAAAATTACACTTATAGACAAAAGTTTTCCCTCCCAGAGTCATCAATTGAACCAAGTATTTAAACAGCCTTTCAAGTCCAGCAAAAACTGATGTGCAAAAGAGCAAAATGATCTCCTACTTATATTTTCAAGATAAGTTTTGCGTTGCATAATCAATTGCTTCACTTATTTCCGTCAATCCCACAATTGTCCTTTTCTGTTTTTTACTCATAACTTTTTTTCCTAAATAGCAAGTTTAATTTTTAAAAAGATTCTTGATCAGCGTAAAAAGTTATACCAGAAAACGTTTTAAGTTCAATAATGTCAAATTAAACTTCTGAGAGTTTTAAGTTCATTTTTCAAAATAATGAAAAAACTATTGCGCATACAAAAACTTAAAAAATTTATAATTTTTTTTATATCAAAAATAAAATTTGATATCATCTTACTCAAAAAAGTATTCTCAACAACGTGATTTTAAAATATTTGCAAAAAGATTGTCTAATAATTAAGAGCAAAACAATAAACATTGTTATAACTATTTCATTCTACCCGCTATTTCATTTTACCCTGTTTTACTCTTTTAGTTCTGACTAAAAAAAATATTTAATTTTATTAAAATTAAAAAAAACTTTTTTTTTTGCATGTAAAATGTTAACACTTTTAGATGTCTAAATTCAGATAAATATAAGACATCTATTAGCAGTCATTTTTTAGACAGCTTGAGACAGCTATAGTTTGTTGTCTCAAAGATAAATACAATTATATATTTTATAGTTATCTGAATTTAGATGTCTAAAGGTATTAACATTTTAAACGAGTTGAGCGCGGTACTACTTAATTCTAAAAACATGTATTTTTAAAATATTCAAAATACAGCATTATTGTCTTATGTTTGCATTCTCGCGATTTAGTTGTATTTTTTTTTTAATGAGGGGCTTCTGAATAATTTTTAAATGAGATTGTTTATGGATGAAGTCAATAAAATATTTGTTAACCTATTTTATGGTCTTTTATTTTATGCTATTTTATGCTATGTTATCAATAAAATATTCATCAACCTATTTTATGATCATAAATAAAATCTTTCTCGTAAGAACTTTTTGTGATATTGAGTATTATGTCAATCTAGGTAATACACAATAAAAATACTTGTTGTTATAAGCTAAAAAAAAAACAAAAAAAAAAGCAAGAAATGAGAGAATAAAAGCTTATTAGTACTTAAATCAACTTCATATACAAATAAACGATTCATAAGCATATACAAATAAACGAACTTAAAAGACAATAGGGTGTTAGCCAGATAATAAATGTATAGATATTATTGGGAATTTAAGTGTGGCCTTTGGTTATTAAAGGTCATTGCTTTTTGACATTTAAAAAGAAGTTTAAGGGAACCCACGGCTCATGCCCATGATTTTTTAACTCTATTTATATCATTAAATTAAGTTTCCACATTAGAAAAGTTTGACATTTAAAAATTTTAAAAAATCGTTTCAAAGTAAAATAAATATCTTTGTAATTATTTTTTTTTTTGTAGGTTATATTCATTGCAAGAACATTTTTATATTTTATATATGTTAAATTATAATTAGTTTTTCGCTTCTCTTTTTTGTGTGATACGGTAAAGAAAACAAGAACAATAGACAATTGTTTGAAATTAAATTTTGAATAAATGAATTTGATATTTTGATCTATTTTAATTGCGTACATCACGTTTATATACTGTTTAAAAAAGTTTAAACAGTTATATACATATATTGTATTTTTTTATATTTATTTTTATTTTTAAATTATAAATGCAAACAAAAATGGTTGATAGTATTAAATTTGTAATAAAACTTTCTTAACAGTTTCACAGGATCCTCTTATAACTTTTTTAGTAGTTTAAACGACTTTTTAATTAATGACTGTCAATAAAAAACACTATTTATTGTCTAGAAAGTTTTGAAATACTTTTTAAAATATTGAAAAAGTTTTTTTTACAATTTTTTACATAGATATTCATATTTTTGTTCATCAAATTTTATAGAATAATTTTTACTATTAAATAAATTTATGTGTAAATTTTAAATAAATTTATAGTGATTTAAAATTGCATTAAATATGATAAAACAAGAAACTTGCTCGGGTCACCAATTTTGATTGAATAGAATGTTAGTTAAAAGAACTTTTGTTGCAATATGCATTAAAGAATTTAAGAGGCAGAATGAGATTTGTTCACTGAATGAGGGTAGCAAGTAAATTTTTGAAGGATATGTTTTGGATTTAAGCTTTAGGTCGTTTTCTAAAATAATGAATGTCTTGAGGTCGGCTTTTTTTGCTGACTTCAAAGACTTTGAGGTCAGTAGTCAGGTTGGCATTGCTGAATGCTGACCCTAATTCCGAGGGTAGCATATATATATATATATATATATATATATATATATATATATATATATATATATATATATATATATATATATATATTTATGCTACTTTCAGAAAAACATTAGATTAAGTGTAAACTTTCTAGTTTACACTTAATCTAATGTTTTTCTGAAGTGCTCTGTTATGCAACCATTAGGTCATCTTGGAGCACCTAAAATAACCATACAAAGAATTTATGATAAAATAGTGTGTGCTATTGACTTTAAAACAAAGTGGTGTTAAGGTGTATGTAGTGTTAAGGTGCAGAGCTGTTTTGGTTAGAATGCCACAGGTGAGTTTGTGATAACAGAAGGATAACAACAAAAGTAGTTTACTTGTACACTTAAAAAATTATGCTACACCTTCAGAAAGATGGGTTAATGAGAATCTATTCATTATAGATAACCTAAATCACAAAAAGCGTAACTTCAAACAATCAGCAGAAATACTTCTAACAAGAAATAATAAAAAAAAATTTAAAGAAATAAAAAAAATGGATGTCATTGGTATATTTTTTTTTAAATATAATTTTAAAATAATATAATATTAAAATAATACATTGCAATTTTCTAAGTTATAATAAAATCCAAATGTGCTGCAAAAACTACTGAAGTTGCATGTTGTTGATGCTAATGGTACAAGCTACACTGATGTTACAAGAGATCAATGGTTTTATGCATAGTGCTTGATATTTTGCATCATATACTGTTAGTTAGATGTAGTGTTGATTTTTATGTTGTTTTTTATGCTTAAGAATGATCTTTATACCTAATAGTTTTTTTTGAAAAATACAATAAATTTAATGTTTTAGATAAAGGAAAATTTATTGAAGGAAAAAAATGTTAAGGAATTGTTTAGCTGTGTCAACACTAGTTCTTGGGTTGATGGGATTCATATTTTTATGTGTGAGTTCTGGAACAACTCGTTGGAAAGAAGATATTGATTTCTATAAAGGGACCAGAGCTTATCTTGGTTTGTGGAGAGGATGTATATATAGTCAAGCAAAGGAAGAGATTGGTTATCCATCATACTACAATTGTGACAAAGATTATCTTCGACCTTATTTAATTGAGCCACCACGTAAGTTGATTATTTAAATAAATGGATTTTTTTTTTCCAAGTTACAAGACTTAATTAAAAAGTGTTTAAGTTGATTTTTATTTAACTAAATAACCAAAGATTTTTTGTTAATTTTTTGAACCAACATTAAGTTTTGAACTCTTATTTATTTAAACAACCTTATTTAGAACACTTTTAAAAAAGAAAATTATTTTTTATTTGAAATTAATTCCAAATTTTTCTTTTAGCTTGGTTTAATGCAGTTCGATCTCTTATGATGCTGGGCTGTATGGGTACTGGTTTTGGAATTTTTTTCTTTTTGTTGGCTTTCATAACAGATAACGCTAAAAAGACTGGTAGTAAATACTGGCCTTCTGCTCTTGTCATATTTTTTGGAGGTAAATTATTATAATACTACATTACATATTATTTGTATATTAACAATATTTAAGTATAAGCTTGTTTATAAATATAAAAATGCAGCTTATTATTAAAAAAAATTAATTAATAATTTTCATTTATTAGTTATAAACAATAGGATAAAAAGTTATTTATAACCGAAGTATTACTACAATGATTAAAAAGTTTACTAAATATGGTGGAGGTAATCAGTCTTCTCCATTTGAAAATTAATGTCAGCGCACGAAAAAGCGCTTGCAGGATGGTCATTTTTAAGTTAGCCTGCTGGATTTTAAAAATTTCTTTTTTCTGCTATTTAAATTAAAATACAATAGCAAAAAAAAAATGTTTTGAATAAATACTAGATAAAATAAAAAAAAAAAAAAAAAAACTGATAAAAGAATGAGTTAAAAGAGTTAAACAAAGAATGAGTTAAAAAAAGTTAAACGAAGGAACAAAAAAGTTTTGTTGCAATTTAAAACAAAATTATTTATTTTTTTGGCAAGCGCTTTTTTAAGCGCTTTTGTGTGGACGAGCGCAAAAAGACTTGAGCGCAAAAGCACTGGCTAAATGGAGAACACTGTGTATAACTAATGTTTTGAGCTATGTCTCAGCTTGGTATAAGTCCACTTGTCAAAATCTATGGAAATTTAGATGAATACAAATGCAAAGATGTATTACAAAACGTAATGGAGCCTTATGCTGGTGATAACAAATTTGTTACTTGGATTTTAATGCATGAAAACAACCCAAAGTATACTGCAAGGTCTGTACTTAAGGAAAATAAAATAAATGTTCTAAAATGACCACCCCAAAGTCCCAATCTGAATCCGATTGAGAACTTATAGAATGATATTGGAGTGGTTTTACGAGATTAGCAAACCTCTAATTTGTATGATTTTGCCGGGAGGAGGGAAATTCAAAAAGTCTGGAATACCACAACAGTCCAACAATGTCAAAGGCTCATCAACAGTATATCATTAAAATGCACTGAATTATTAAAGAATGAGGACTACCCAACAATATGTTAATGTTTAATATTTTGATGTAGACTTTTATACAGCACTATTTTTTTATTTGATGTGCATGATTTCAATGATCACAATTTTTTGTTGTATTTCGTAAAAAATTTTTATAATTATAATTATACTTAAGTTAAATTTTTTTATCTTATTGTTTACAGGTAATTAATGGAAATTTTAAAATAATATTATTATTTTTTAATTTCCCTAATAAAGAAAGATCACCACTATGTATTATATATTTATGTTTATTTATGTATACACATGTGATAAGTGATTGTGTGTAATTCATAGCATAATCAAGCTTTCCCGAAAAGTGCATGTGGTCGCATACCGTGTTGGTTCATGCCTAAAGTATTTTTTTTAGACAACTTGACAACGTTTTTATATAGTAAACGTTTTAAGAACTTGTGGCAAAATAAAACTATAAGAAACTAGAGAGAATAAAACAGCAATACTTAAAGAAAAGAACCAAAGACTTGGTCGGGAAGCAGGAGCGATCGCTCTCGAATACTGATATTTGTTTGCGAAAAACTGGCCAGATTTTTTTTGTCGTTTTGAGAACATTTCAGTTTATGTATGTCCATAAAACCAAAAATTTTTGTTTAACGAACCTACATGGAAACATACATATACTTAAATGTTCTCCAAGACATCTTGGTGCGATAAAATAAAAAGAATATTTGCAAACTCATAAAACCCGCCAAATCTATGAACAAACTAATTCTATTGGTTCAAAAAATATGCTGTTTAAGTGAAATAAAGTTCTGGAGTATTCTGTTGAAATGTTTTAAGTATTGTATTATTTGAGATATGTTAAGTTTTGAGGTTTCCAGCGTAAACTGTTTTAAAAATATATTATAAAACAAACTATTATTTTAATACTATGGCTCACTCTCGGAGCCACATCTGCAAAGCCGTAAATCTTTTAAACTATTATTATTTGTTTACAAAAATAAATGTTTTAAATATATTTTTTAAATTGTCAAAGTTTTGAAAGTTTATTATATATTATAGATTTTATTAGTATATTCTTATTTAAAAAGTATATATTTTTTATGTAAACATAATTTTGTTTTGTAAACATAATATCTGTTTTTCATTTTAACTAATCTTTAGAATTTATTTTGTAAACAAAAAGACAATAATTGCATTTTCAATAAAATTGTTAATAATCATCAAAGTTAATAAAACTAATTATGAAGTTAACACACAAGAAGTTTCTAGTTACTAAACACAAACATGCATACAAAGTAATTCGTGGATGAACAAGCACTGCGCCTGAGGTCACGACAGAACACAAATATATTTTTTATCCATTTGTTTAACCATTAAATCAAAAATCACAAATTTAGTTATAATTTGCAAATTTAGGTTTGGTGTCACTCATGTAGTTAAAAACTAGTCAATGGAGTGACAAAATGAAAAAAAAAATTAAAACAAAGAAATAATAAAGAAAGTGAATAACATTAATACAAGTAATAAATAAAGAAGTATAAGGAACAATAAATATTAAAAAGTTGGAATTAGAACAAAAATATAAAGGAGTAACACTAAGAAAAATGAAAAAAAAATTGAGAATGAATGGATGAGATGAGATGAGTGAGAAAATATGTAAGAGAAAACAATAAATTTATCACATAAGTTCCGAAGGATAGGGTGACAGCAAATAATTTATGCAGAAAAATATAAAAAAGCAAAATAAAGGCAAATTTAAATAAAAAAAAAATATACATACACTATTACATTCAATATTAAAGCCTATATTATGCATTACATAGATTAGTAAAACAAAAGTTAATATGAAGATGTAAAAAAAGAAACAACTAAATCAACAGAGAAGAATGCAAAAAAAAAAGATACATTCAACATTTTTTATATACATAAATACAGGTCAATAAACAATGCGCAAAATTAATTAAAATTGTTATTTTTCTTTTCTTTCCATATAAAATATTGGTGATAAAAGAAAATTTTAGTTCTTTTATTATTTTCCATTTTCGGAGACTTTTTTTTTTTAAATTTGTTTTTATTTGTTTTGGTGTTTCTTCTTCTTGTTTTTTATTTTTATTTAAATTCTATATTCTTGTTTATACACTTATTTTTTGAACTTTTATTACCAAAATGTTTTTTCACCGTTAAACAAATACTTCCTCCATTTACAATGTCATAGCAAAGATGACGATATATATATATATATATATATATATATATATATATATATATATATATATATATATATATTTTGTTTATGCGACACAATGATCGCAAAAAGTGACCAACGGAGCCGTCCAGTTTCGTAGACCTGGGAGATGTGAAAATAAAAACAGATTGAAGATGATGTCATTTAGGTAAAAAAACATAAATTAATGCAAAGACTATTTAGTTGGAAGAGTAAAAGTAAGCAACTCAGGAAAAGGGAAATAAAAACTCACACTCTAGTCATCTTTTAACAAATGATGAAGTAATGATCAATGAGTAAACAAGTCAATAAAAATCTGCTGGTTTATAATGGTATTCATAACTAAAATAATCGCACCATACAAGTGTCTAATAAATGTGGTACTATATATGTTCTAAACTCTAGATAAAAAATTGATAACTGATAATCACCTGTGTAACATAAAAAATATATAAATGTCGTTAATGTAACAAATTCATAATAAAAAGCTCACAAAGCGCAAAACTACATGGGTATAAGAGGTAAAAAAATGTTGGTGCCATAATAACCAATTAGAATTAAGTAGTGGATAAATGGTGATCCCCCTCCTCAGGAATGCACTGCGATCACCAATGACGTTTCGGAGAGCCCGAGACCTGCACTAACGCCACTCGTCAGGGACGTGTCCTTGCAACAGATCTCACCGCCTGCACTCTACGTCATGCTAGTCAATATTGCAATATATTAGGACTACACTACAAAAGCCAAAAAACCAATCCCTATCCCAGTTTTTGAAAACAGCTCCAACATTCTTAGAGATCTCGTGAGGGTGGTGAGGAACGCGCGTGGTGTGACCATAAACAGATATGTAAACACATATAAATATAAGGTACCCTTATATTAGAAGAAACAAACTTGTACACATATACGTATTATATTATAAATATAATAAGTAAATACCACTCATAAGCATTGATACTAAGTTAAGATGTTTTGTGGTTAGTACGAAAGTAGTTAAACGAAAGTATGATAAAAAATATATAACTCTAAATAGTATGTTCTCATATAAATCTTGCTTGGTAAGTTGAGACAATAGCTATCACACAAAACAGACTCAGAGTAATTAAATAACGATTAGCCAGAGATAAAAAAATATACAAACATCAAATCAGTAGGCAGAATATAATGAGGAAATAAAAAGATAAAACAATATATGCGATTTTCAACTAATAGCTTATAACCACTAAAAAATGTAACGTTAAAAAACAATATTGTTGACAAAACGACCAAAGGAACGTTAGTGAAGACTGTATAGTGCAAACCACAACAAACTAACTTAGCGACGTCAAATCGAGAAAATTGAATAGAAACAAAAAACCTAACAAAATTGTGATTAGTCTAAACTTATCTAATGAAATTGTTCAGTATATTCCAACCAAGAATACATTTGTTATAAAAAATACGCTAATACGTACTTTTGTGTAAAATTTTCGCGCTGTTATACTTCTCACAAATATACGGCCTCATTCACACATAACACAAATCTGAATAAATATACAAAGATAAGGTAAAAAAAAGATTATGAACAAAAGTATATAATAAAAAACAAATATTTGAAATACTGATTTTGAAGACCGTTGATGTCTACAGGTGTGATGGTGTAGTGCATTAGTATGTACTGTTTGGTCGTCTAGTATGGTCTCGTTATGTCTTCGTTCACATTAAAATCGGGTGAATAGAAAGCTAAACACACTCACTTCTTGCGCTTATGGGCTAGCACATCAGAGCCAGACGTAAGACCTACAGAATGGATTTC